GGGGGGGGGCCCCCCCCCCCCCGGCCAGCAAACGAAGATGTCGGGGACCATTTCTCCGAGAGATAGGCTGCAGCTCTGGGTTAATACATTGTTGCTAAAGCAAAAGGAAAACTCAGGTAGCGTAACCGCTACCTTTCGTGATATGCTGTGGTTGGTGTAGACCGTAGCTGGTGTAAACTGAGGTTGGTGCAAACCAGACTGTGGCTTGGTGTAGACTGTGCTTGGTGCAAACCGTGTTTGTTCTTTAAACCGTGGTTTCCTGTAAACCGTGGTTGCTGTAAACCGTGGATGGAGCAAACCCAGCAGCAGCAGCAGCAGCAACTGAAGACGAGTGGCATTAGTATGGGAAAGTGTTCATGAGGCAGCTTGATGAGATGAGAAACTCATGGCCAACTCCAAGAGCCGCGGAGCGACTCCAGCTAGCTGAGGCTAGCTTTCGTGACATGTCAGAATGGAACTGCGATGTGTAAAGTCCCAAGTTTCCACAAAACAACTGATTATATAAACCATCTTAAAACTCATCTGTGTGCTAAATACCGGTCTTGTCTTGCGGCGCAGGGCTCCACGAGTCTTGGCAAAGGTTGAGAGCGGCATTGAAGCTTTCCTTGCTTGTGGAGCTTGCACAGCTTGCAAACCAGACAAGTCATTTCTGGCATAGAAGGGTGCTGTGATGAATCTAGAAGAGTTCTGTTATAGTCACGTTCCGGAAACCCTCCACGCACAGCAACACACAGCAACATCTGAAATTATCAAGGAGCAATGCTTAGTTGAACGGAGTCATGCATAGCCAAATTCAAGAGAGAAATCGCCAGCTGCCAGCTGGGACAAGCATCGGCCGCCGCACTCACGGTGGTGGCCTCAAGTTGCAATACGCACAAATCTCAGTCTTACACAAGCGTCCGAAGATGTGTCATTTAAGACGATCCTTTAAGACAAAAACCTGTCCAGTCCGACTATTGCAGCCAAATCAGCATCCATTTCAATATGATGCGTGTGCATGTGTTGAAGCACTCCAACTACCTGTTTCCATTGGCTGCCTCTTTCACAGGCAGAAATGGCCGAATTGGCTGTGCGAACATCCAGCTGGTGGCCATTCATCATGGCCAGTGATTGCCGCCACTCGCTTGCCTCACCCATTGCCAGGATGACATTGGCATAATGAGTCGCATCAGGATAAGCAATTGTTTCCAGGCTAGCCAAAGCAATATCCCATTTGCCTGACTTGCGCAGGGTCATTAATACGATGTTGTATGTATCAAACCCAAGTTCCAAGGATTGTTCCCTCGACTTCTCGAGCAAGTTAAGCATCCACTCCCAACTTCTGCAAGCGCTGATCGCTGTCTGGAAATGAGAGCAGTCAGGAGGAAACTTTAGCGAGAGCATTTCGCTAAACAATGCTATGACAAAATGCCAGCGATTTTGCTGAGCACAGGCGGTCATCACAGCGCCATAGGACTTACAACATCCAAAGTCCTCCTTTGGCATCTGCGCTCCCAAGTGTAGCGCTGCTTGCCACTGAGAACCACTGCTGCAAGCTGAAATGGCAGCAGTCCAAGTTGCTGGCATGTCTTGCGCACTCTTCGTGACAGAGTCTAGGAGAAGAATGGCTTTGGCCCACACGCTGGCCTTTCCACAAACACTCATTGCAGTTTGATAGCTGACCACACCAGGGAGCACCTCCAACGCCATCTGTTCGAGAAGATGAACTGCGATTTGCCACTCTTGTGTTCCATCCAATGCCCCAATACCAGAGTTGTAAGTCACTTCATTTCGGCGGATCTTCATCACAAACATGTCTGCAAGGAAATGTAAGGCTGCTTGCCACTGGCTTGCTTGGCCACATGTGTTTATGATTGATCCACAAAGCACCTCATTTGGAGTGACATTTTGTGACAGTGCATCTTCAAAAATGCTGATGGCAATCTTCCATTGACCACCCTTGCCCAAAGCACTGACCAGGGCGCTGAAAGTCACAACGGATGGCAAAACCCCAAGTTTGGGCATCTGGTGCAGGATTGCCATGGCCATTTCCCATTCCCCTCCCTTATCACATGCACTTGTCAAAGCACTACACGTGATCAAATCTGGAGGAAGCTTCCTCTTGCACATGTCATCCAAAAGTGCAAAAGCAGCCTGCCACGACCCGGCCTTCTCACAGGCAGAAATGGCTGAGTTGTAGGCAATGTTGTCTGGAGAAATGCTGCTGTGCTGCAGTTCTTTCAAGCAATCTAAAGCCTCTGCCCACAAGCTATTCTTATGACATGCGTTGATCACTGAGCTGTATGATATGCAGTCTGGAGAAAGCTTTTCATGCTTCATCTCTCTTAGAAGCAGCGAGGCTGTGCACCAGCTGCTGCCTCTTTCACATGCGTTCATTGCTGCATTGCACATAATGAGATTGTGCCTGACAAAGCCAAGGTTTTTCAGTTGCCCATGGCCAATCTCTGCCGATGCTTAGCCCTCCTCATGATATCTCCAGCTAAAACACAGTCTTAAACTGGAGGTGACTGTGATAAACTGGAGCTATTCCCTTTTGAACCCCTGGTGCAGAACAGTATTGCCCTTACTCTCCCGTTCGCCCCAAAAAACTGACACCAGAGTGGTGGAGACAACAATTGCAGAAATGACATGCAACTAACTTTGACGAAACTCGACCAGCACATACCAACACACTTCTCATACTAAGCTCAAAGTGAGAATCTGGACTTGTTGCTGCCGTGCAGATTTCAAGACTTCTAAAGCTCCTTCCCATTGCGCCGCTCGCGCCAGGCAGCTCACAGCAGCACCACAGGTGACGGCATCGGGCATCAAACGCAGAAGGCTCAGCCGAGCCAATAGCTCGGTGGCCAACTGCCAGGCTGTGGCCCTGCGGCATTCGGACAATGCCACAGTGCAGCGCACCTTCCGACATGTCTGCGTTTGCATTGAAAAACTTTGTGGAACAAATGTTTCGCTCAAGCGGTTGCTTTGGTGAATGTTACTTTTACCTCTTTTGGTTTCTTATTCTACTTTAACATTGTTTGGATATGTTTTAAGAGATTGGTGTTGCTGGGGTTTTAACACCTATGTATGTGGCCATGTGTGCAATATGTGTCCATGATTCCACTTTGGGTTAGCCAAACGTTTCCAGTGGAACGCTGAAAGCAAGCTAAAAAGAAGGTTCAACCTGCAACAAACAAAGCTAAAGCCCCAAGCCGCAGTAGAACATGCACCAAGAAATATCAACAAAAAAACACTAAAGCCACACAATCCAAAACCACGGAAGAAACCAACCTATAAAAAAAGAACTTGCAAGAGAAACAATAGAAACATCCAACAACACTTTTCCATTCCGCTAAAGACAGGCCCTGAGGTGTTGTTGTTGTCGTCGCGTTTCAACACAACCTTTAAGACTATATCTATGCACTGTACCGAAGAGGGGCAGGCAGTATGAATCACTATGACCATGTTCTTTGATTAAAGCTCAGGCCTGGTCCAGCTCCAGTCGGTCCGCATTGCAGCTCTCCAGTAGTGAGGTGGCCCGCTTGATGTTCGTGCTCATTGCAATTGAGCCTTTGTACTGCGAGTGATGGCCTTCTATTTTGATGTAGACAGGAATTGATCTTGAAGGATCTGGTGGCTCCATCCTCTGAGCGTAGTCCGTCAGCCACAAAATGTTCTGAACAAAAGCACCGTCCTGATTGATGTCTTTTAATCGCACATGCGGTTGAGGTCTTCGATTCGTTGACAGCAGTTGCTGCTGCAACGAACATGAACAGGCTCCAAAGGTGGAGAAAAACAAGGGGGGTTCTTCCTCTCCACTCACTCCTGCAAAAGTTGCAGAAGCAAAAAAGTCGGACTGTTGCAGCCCTGACCAAGCTGGAAGCAGCAAAAACCGGTGCTTGGTTTTAAAGCAAAGACCGCCCAGGGCTATGCCCAACAACTGCAACTTAGCAAAGGATATGAATGCACAACATATCACACGATCAGCGAATCACACTGATGTATGTCTAGCAGGAGTCTAGCACCAGCTTCTGTGCACTCCAGACACCTCAGTGGTCACCTTGTTTATCACTCCACTGAGTCTGTGAGCATCTCCCGAGCCAGGATGAATTCGCCCTGAAAGGTCGCGGGGAACTGCTCGAATCACAATCTGGAGCTCGCTTTGAGCTCTGCAAATTGGCTGTTTGCCCATCTTCATGCAACACAGTTCTCCCATCGTCATCATCATGCTTCAAAGGAAATGTGTTTGGGTTTATCCGGGCAAAGTTGCCGTTTTGGAAACATGCAAACACTTTAGCAAAATGGGCCAATGGGAGGCCAGGAGGACAAGAGTCAAGGGAAGCAAACTCATGTGTTTTCAGAGACTAATCATTACGCAACGCAGTGGGGATCAACGATATATATATACTGTATTAAATAAATAAATATATATATATTATATATAATAGTCTTCTTGCTTCCAAGGAAGTCGATCAACTGGCGTCTCTTCGCCCCCAACTGGGATTGTCTCCTTATCCCCTAATTATGGCCCTAGCAAAGCAAAATTAATTCGGGGCAGGCTCCCAGCACAACAGCGGAATCTGTATGGGTAGGCCATCCGCTCCCATGCCATCAGCTCCCATTGTGTCCACGAAGGCCTCATGTACTCTAACCGGGGATGCCATTAAAATGACACGATTGATGGAATTCGTCGATGGGAGATCCGCGGTACCATCGACACGACAACGAAAGGCGGAAGCACCAAACACTGTGACGACCTGCAAAACCTTCGCCGAAGGGCGTGGTAGAAGCAAATAGCTCTTGGTGCTGGTGCTGTTACGAGGCCACGAAGCAGCCAGCGGCAGGCCGAGAACAATGCAGGCAAAGTCGCTTTCTCTGTTTCCTTGATAAGGGCATCAAGGAATGCGTTGACATGGTCTGACAAGTGCGAGGCTGGCTACGCCATGGCAAGTGTGTATGCAATGCAAGGATCAAACAATTAAACTTCTCAAGGATGCCTGGTTGACGTCTCTCACATGTGGTCACCAACACCCCCTTTTTCAAACAAACCACAGGAATCAGAAAAATGTCCAGTACTTTTCACCCAACCAAAATCATCCAAAATCTATCGTGGAAAGGAATCGACTCAGCCATAGCATGCCATAGCCAAGAATCAGAGTAAACGTCTCTTCCCGGCCCACTGTTCCAGAAGCCCTTAGTTCGACAGAGACGGCTGTCAAGGTACTTGTCAACTTTCTCAGCTGTGTCAATGCTGTTCCACTTGAGGCGGACCCTCATGAGGCAATCAACCGCGCGGAGTTGAGACAAGGCATTGAGCAAGTTTGTGCTTTTCCGGCTGAAGGCCAAACAACGCCCCGATTCTTTGGTAAAGTGTGAGGAGAGCTCTGCCAGCTCCGCGTCGTCAGCCAAAGTTGGGGTGACCTCAACGAGATGATGGGCTCTCTGGAGAAGATTCTCTAAGCGGAAAGTGCTGTTGAAGCAGCAGCCCTCCTTAGCCACAGGAAACGCTTCATTCGACGCAGCGAAACTTCAGCACGAGCAGTTCAGGAAGAAAATCGATTCAAACCAAGTGCTGCTGGCGTGGTTGTAAAACGGCATAATTCCCGTAGACATCAAAGGCCTCATTATGTGAACTATAAGTTTGAAGGTGTTCGCATGCGTACACAATTCCGATATAAATGACTCGGAGTTTGCAGCAATATTGAGAAACCCACACTGCATTCACAAAAGTTTATTGATTCTGCTGCGGAAACAATCCGAAAAGATTGGTGGTACAAATTGGATGGTCTGCTGCAATTCATCTACGCACACAAACGCCCTGTGGGTGTCAGCTGTGGTCCTGCATGCAATGTAGTAATTGTTGCTCTAATTTAATTTCAACAAACCATCAACATGCTCCAATCCTTGCACAGCTTGGAGTCTGGCAATCTATCACTGTTTCTTGGGCTCCAAGCAATTGGCCCCGAGCGCATCACAAAGACTGCCCAAACAAATTCCTGGAAATATATGATTCCTCGTGCACCCTTACCCCTCTTGCCGGGACAATCTCATGACTACTTGAGTACTTCGGCCTTTGTCTTCGGAAAAAACACTGCACGCACGCGTCATCAACAAAATGGATGCATAGAATTAGAACATATTAAGACACAACATTGCAAGTTGTAGGGTTCAAAACCTGTCATGACCCGTCAAGAAAAACACACACACACACATTGCATTCACATGGGCGCCAAAAAATAACATGGAAGAACACCAGGTGTGAAACTGGCATAGCGGCATATAGCGCACACTTTCTGAAATGAAAAAAGGATGGGCACGCACGCACGAGGCTGGCATTTCAGGAGGACCCAGTGTGCCAGGATGCCGGGTGCGTTGGCCACATGAACAAGTTCATCCGGTTTCTGTCACCAAATGTTCTAGCTGCAGTTACAAAAGGGTGAAACCCTTGCGGGACAAACTCATCCGCAGGTCCACGTGACTTTGCCAAGAAAACTTTGAATGCACCTGCCCCTCTCCAGGAGCCATGGCTTTTGCCCGAAGGTAAGTAGAACAAGGCCCGCTTTGCATCTGTAAGTTCGGAGATATTCACACTGGATCATGCTGCACAACTCCACCAATTTTGCGACATGGTTGTGTTTTGAACTCTTAGCGCTCAGGACAAGATACGCCAAAGGCAAATCCGGCCCGGCTAGACGTGTCTTTCTTCGAAACATTGCGGCAGTCCAGATTTAATCTGGACTGGTTTTTGCCCCTTCTCAAGCATAAGCGCCAGCTTTAAGGTCACATGTTGAGGTAATGAGCAAATTGGACTTTGCAAAGCATATGTCTTCATATTGTTCCATCAAATGACCGCCAGAAAGCTCCTCATGAAAGCAGCCTTAGCAAGTCAATGCAAGCAGCATGGCCACCGGCCTGTCAAGGGGATGATGCCGCCAACACCCAACCGAACGACCACACACCCCACCCAGGCAGCCGTCCGGTTAGGGTTCCACAGTGTTAGGGTTCTGCACTGCCCATCAGCCCAAGCTGCCCCAATCCCTCACACCCACTAATGCAACTTAGCACCCACAGGAATGATATCAAGAAAAGGTGGACTGACTAGTAGACACAACATTTCTTTCCGAACGCCCTCATATTAGTATATTGCATTCAATCCACATCTGGGGTCCCGCTCTACACCTGAACATGGAACTAGGTCCGGACAAAGCTTCACTAGCTCTCTTGAATGGCTGACTGAGCTCTCGCAGGAACAGCATGGTTTCTGTGGCTGCGAAGTCCAGAACAATGGTGGCAACACCCATCGGCAAGGAGCCCATTATCTCCGCCATCATCTCTGCTGTCTTGAGCTTCGAAGCTGCAACATCTAAGTTCTGGCCGTTGCAAGTGCATGATTTCGAGTACGATCAAGGTGACTGCACGTACCAGTTCACAGCACCCCGGCGCAGGAACCAGCTAACCAACTAGTAGAAGAGCCTTTCTAGCTTGTCTGATGCTGATCGTCTCGGCTGCACTGACGCAAACAGAACGCAAGCTCTCATGCGCTGATTGTACAAGTTCTCATGGACTTCGCCTTCAGCCAAAAGAGGGCGACGAGAACAAGGAGAACATCGTTCTCTTCGTTCTCTTCATCCACTGTTGGCAGAATGAGATGTCAACAAACACATGGCATGATCTGTCGCATGGCTCCGTTTTGCGCCTGGCATGACCTGTGGTCTCAGCCTTCTTTGCGCCTTGACTTCGGCTGGGAGAAGCTCCAAGTTTTGGAGCCAGGTAAGGCATCGCTGCCAAGAACAATCGCTCATAATGCCTGCAATCGCTTGCACACCTATGCTTTACAAACAAGATGGCTATGCCAAGCAAACCCCTTGGCACGCCACAGGGTGACCAGTGTTTTTCAGCAAGAAAGGGCCTTTGGCACACCAAAGCTGAGCTAAATACCATCACGCTCTTTCCTCGAGACTGAAATGACACAAACTTTCTGGCTGCCAGTGGCCAATCTGGATCTGCTTCAAAGTCGTGACAGGGCAAACCTCACTCAAACGATCCACTTCGACGGATTCTCTGCCAGCAAGCCAAGCAGTTGATGCCACTTAGTGGCTTAGTGCTCCGCAACTAGAAAGGCATTTTGGCAAATCAAAGTTGATCGACTTTCACGCTGACTTAGGGGATGGATGGAACCAAAATGTTGGGCAGGCAAATGCTTGATGAGCTCCAGCGTGATTCTGAACCATCCAAGCTCGCTCGAACATCCCAAATTCAGATTGTACATCTAGCCTGCCCAGCCGCAACACCCAGCTCCTCAACATTCATGCTGCCCCAGTGTGACACCGCTTCAGAACTTCTTCCCAACTTCTAGTTCCTTCAGGTACCCCATTTTTGCGCCTTCATTATCATTTGGTGGATTTATGTGAACTTCGCGTGTGCAGAGTCCCTACACACACGCACACACACCTACCTACCTAAGCGGCTGTTTCTCAACGCAAGACCAGCAAGACCTGGTCTTAACGGTCCCCAAGACCTTTTGAACTGTCCCCCAGCTGCTGGCTCCTCCAAGTTCCCGTGGCCGAATGGTCCAGTCCTCCAAAGGCGGTAGAATTGTGCCATCAGGCACTCCGGTTGTGCCATACTTGCTCAGGCGCTCCACCTGTTCTCTCCTGATTGGCACGACTAGCAACCAAACAATCAAAGCTGGTCACTGAGTCACTGAACACATATCCTGACGGGGTTCAGGTCTCTAGAAACAGGCGAGCCATTCAATTAGGCCTAAGCTGGTCACTTGC